CTCTGTGCGTCCTGAGCGCGCTCTGTGTCGAGATAGCCTAGGCCTACTGCTGAAATGCAATGAATTAATTGAGGAACACTCTGAATTTATGAACGGCCTGTTTTCAAATTCACAACAATGTCATTGGCGATCAAAGTTACTCTATCATTACTAAACATCAGTTTCACTTGCTGTGAAGTCTTTACATAGTGGCGCAGCCATGACGGCAATGTGGAGCAACAATCTTATTTTGGGACAACATTGAGTGACCATATCTTGGTTTTAAATGCTTTAAATTGGCACTTCACATTTTTGCGGTATTTCCTGGGACTCTCAGGATAAATATGAATTATTCCCGGTATTGAAACTTGGTAGATTTTCGGGAAAATATTAATCCCTAATCCGTGATGATGATGACGTAAAGCATAATGTAAAATGTCACGATGTGTACGGGGCATACTGGTGCTTTCAAGACAACTGGGAACTCTGAAAAAAACTAGGTCGAATCATGACTTCAGTGATCTTCAGGTCAGAAAGTCGGAGCTCTAGAAAGATGCCTGAGTTCCCGACATGGAATTCCGAGTTGGATGAACGTTCAAAACTATTTTTCACAGTCGTAGCTAGTTTTTTCTGCGAGCTCCCAGTTGTCTTGAAGTCAGAAGTCGGACATTTCTGAGTTCCCAGTTGTTTTGAATGCGGCATAAGACTTCATCAATAGGTGCGTTCAGTTCGCTTGAACATTTGCTACGTTGAGGAACGGTTTGTACTGAACGACACGTTTCCCCAAAACGTTCTTGAACAGACTTTGAGGGAAGTTTGCTCCTGTTTGGTGGTTGTGGCGAGGTGTGGCTTGAAGCAATGCTTGACATATTTAAAGGGCAGTGGCCATGCTGACAGTGTTCCACAACCCAACCCCTCCCCTTTTTCAACTGGTCGTTCAGTACAGCAATGTTTCAAATCAAATCAAATCAAATTTTATTGGCCACATGCGCCGAATACAACAGGTGCAGACATTACAGTGAAATGCTTACTTACAGCCCTTAACCAACAGTGCATTTATTTTTAATGAAAAAGTAAAATAAAACAACAAAAAAGTGTTGAGAAAAAAAGAGCAGAAGTAAAATAAAATAACAGTAGGAAGGCTATATATACAGGGGGGTACCGGTGAAGAGTCAATGTGCGGGGGCACCGGATAGTTAAGGTAGTTGAAGTAATATGTACATGTGGTAGAGTTAAAGTGACTATGCATAAATAATTAACAGAGTAGCAGCAGCGTAAAAAGATGGGGTGGGGGTGGAGGGGCAGTGCAAATAGTCCGGGTAGCCATGATTAGCTGTTCAGGAGTCTTATGGCTTGGGGGTAGAAGCTGTTGAGAAGTCTTTTGGACCTAGACTTGGCACTCCGGTACTGCTTGCCGTGCGGTAGCAGAGAGAACAGTCTATGACTAGGGTGGCTGGAGTCTTTGACAATTTTGAGGGCCTTCCTCTGACACCGCCTGGTATAGAGGTCCTGGATGGCAGGAAGCTTGGCCCCAGTGATGTACTGGGCCGTACGCACTACCCTCTGTAGTGCCTTGCGGTCGGAGGCCAAGCAGTTGCATACCATACCAAGCGGTGATGCAACCAGTCAGGATGCTCTCGATGGTGCAGCTGTAGAATTTTTTGAGGATCTGAGGACCCATGCCAAATCTTTTCAGTCTCCTGAGGGGGAATAGGCTTTGTCGTGCCCTCTTCACGACTGTATTGGTGTGTTTGGACCATGATAGTTTGTTGGTGATGTGGACACCAAGGAACTTGAAGCTCTCAACCTGTTCCACTACAGCCCCGTCGATGAGAATGGGGGCATGCTCAGTCCTCTTTTTTTTCCTGTAGTCCACAATCATCTCCTTTGTCTTGATCACGTTGAGGGAGAGGTTGTTATCCTGGCACCACACGGCCAGGTCTCCTTCCTATAGGCTGTCTCATCGTTGTCGGTGATCAGGCCTACCACTGTTGTGTCGTCGGCAAACTTAATGATGGTGTTGGAGTCGTGCCTGGCCATGCAGTCATGGGTGAACAGGGAGTACAGGAGGGAACTGAGCACACACCCCTGAGGGGCCCCCATGTTGAGGATCAGTGTGGCAGATGTGTTGTTACCTACCCTTACCACCTGGGGGCGGCCCGTCAGGAAGTCCCGGATCCAGTTGCAGAGGGAGGTGTTTAGTCCCAGGATCCTTAGCTTAGTGATGAGCTTTGAGGGCACTATGGTGTTGAATGCTGAGCTGTAGTCAATGAATAGCATTCTCACGTAGGTGTTCCTCTTGTCCAGGTGGGAAAAGCAGTGTGGCGTGCAATAGAGATTGCATCATCTGTGGATCTGTTGGGGCGGTGTGCAAATTGGAGTGTGTCTAGGGTTTCTGGGATAATGGTGTTGATGTGAGCCATGACCAGCCTTTCAAAGCACTTTATGGCTACAGACGTCAGTGCTACGGGTCGGTAGTCATTTAGGCAGGTTATCTTAGTGCCCTTGGGCACGGGGACTATGGTGGTCTGCTTGAAACATGTTGGTATTACAGACTCAGTCAGGGACATGTTGAAAATGTCAGTGAAGACACTTGCCAGTTGGTCAGCACATGCTCGGAGTACACGTCCTGGTAATCCGTCTGGCCCTGCGGCCTTGTGAATGTTGACCTGCTTAAAAGTCTTACTAACATCGGCTACGGAGAGCGTGATCACATAGTCATCCGGAACAGCTGGTGCTCTCATGCATGCTTCAGTGTTGCTTGCCTCGAAGCAAGCATAGAAGTGGTTTAGCTCGTCTGGAAGTCTTGTGTCACTGGGCAACTCGCGGCTGTGCTTCCCTTTGTAGTCTGTAATAGTTTTCAAGCCCTGTCAGAGCCGGTGTAGTACGATTCAATCTTAGTCCTGTATTGACTCTTTGCCTGTTTGATGGTTCGTCGGAGGGCATAGCGGGATTTCTTACAAGCGTCCGGGTTAGAGTCCCGCTCCTTGAAAGCTGCAGCTCCACCCTTTAGCTCAGTGCGGATGTTGCCTGTAATCCTTGGCTTCTGGTTGGGGTATGTATGTACGGTCACTGTGGGGACGACATCATCGATGCACTTATTGATGAAGCCAGTGACTGATGTGGTGTACTCCTCAATGCTATCTGAAGAATCCCGGAACATGTTCCAGTCTGTGCTAGCAAAACAGTCCTGTAGCTTAGCATCTGCGTCATCTGACCAATTTTTATTAACCGAGTCACTGGTGCTTCCTGCTTTAGTTTTTGCTTATAAGCAGGAATCAGGAGGATAGAGTTATGGTCAGATTTGCCAAATGGAGGGCGAGGGAGAGCTTTGTATGCGTCTCTGTGTGTGGAGTAAAGGTGGTCTAGAGTTTTTTTTTCCTCTGGTTGCACATTTAACATGCTGGTAGAAATTAGGTAGAACGGATTTAAGTTTCCCTGCATTAAAGTCCTGCCTCTGAATGAGCGTTTTCCTGTTCACTTATGGCCTTATACAGCTCATTCAGTGCAATCTTAATGCCAGCATTGGTTTGTGGTGGTAAATAGACAGCTATGAAAAATATAGATAAACTCTCTTGGTAAATAGTGTGGTCTACAGCTTATCATAAGATACTCTACCTCAGGCGAGCAAAACCTCGAGACTTCCTTAGTATTTGATTTTGTGCACCAGCTGTTGTTTACAAATATACACAGACCGCCACCCCTTGTCTTACCGGAGTCAGCCGTTCTATCCTGACGATGTAGCGTATAGCCCGCTAGCTGTATGTTGTCCATGTCGTCGTTCAGCCACGACTCGTGAAACATAAGATATTACAGTTTTTAATGTCCCGTTGGTAGGATAACCGTAATCTTAGGTCATCCAATTTATTCTCAAATGATTGAAGATTGGCTAATAGGATTGATGGGAGAGGCAGTTTACTCACTCGCCGTCGGATCCTTACAAGGCACCCCGACCTACGTCCACGATATCTCCGTCTCTTTCTCATGCGAATGACGGGGATTTGGGCCTTGTCGGGTGTCTGTAGGATATCCTTCGCGGACGCCTCGTTGAAGAAAAAATCTTCGTCCAATACGAGGTGAGTAATCGCTGTCCTGATATCCAGAAGCTCTTTTTGGTTATAAGAGACGATGGCAGAAACATTATGTACAAAATAAATTGCAAATAACGCGGAAAAACACACATAATAGTACAATTGGTTAGAGGGCTGTAAAACGGCAGCCATCTTCTCCGGCGCCATTTAGTTTCCGTTCAATTGAACGTTCCAGAACGTAAAAACGTACTGAACGCAGCCAATGTCTCATTGTCTCAGTTAGTTTCCATTTGAGTAAACTGAACCCAGACTCCCTGCTCTCACTTCACTGTCAATAACTGCTGATAAAGCTGCTGATGAAGCGGGTTTAGGGAGATTGGATATCTGGCATCCGATATCTAAAGTCAGAAAAAGGGGGTAAGCCTAACTGCTATTACGACTAGATATTTGGTATGGACATCCAGGGGACATATTGTATCCAGTTTGATATCGAGGTGGTATCTGGGGCTTTGAAAAAGTGGATACCTATTTTAATATTCACCCTTCAGGCTAAAATGACTTTTATAGGCTGTTGGTAGATACATTCATCTCGAAGATTCTGACTGTATGAAGTGCAAGCGCTCCTAAAACATGAAGTATGCAATTAATTATTCCCCCAACATTTCCCCAAGACTGTTAAAGCTGATGTGAGTGTGTCTAGACATACTGAATCAATCCATTAATGAGCATGGGATTAAAAAATAAGAGGAAAGTCAGTATGAGGGTTTTGGTAAAATTCTGAATGGGTTTCAAAGGCCCCATCTGGTGGCCACAACTATTAAGTGAAATATAACTGTGATTGGAAAGCTTTGAGGAACCTCTGCCATCCTCTTCTTGGAATTACAGTGTAGCCTATTTCCATACCAATGTGTATGTTTGCAGTGTCTCTTTCCGCCTGCTGACTGATGATTCCCATAGGTTGGTGGTGATATGATGTTACTGTATGACATTGTTAGTCCAACTTTTGTCAGTTTCTTCATTAAGTGACAACTAGGTCCTTTTGTCCTTTACTCTAGTTCATAACAGTAGAAATTGTTTACCATATTTGGTGTGCAATCTGCTGAACCAGTAAAACAATCCAGAACATAAACATGATATTCACAGGGATCAGTAGCAGGTCTAATTTGTTTTCCCTGGGGCACTCAACACTGATCTGTATTTATTAAAAACCCAGGGGCCTCTGTACTATTATTACTCATACATTAGTGCCGTCCTCAACGAATCCGCAGATGGAGTTGCAGTGCCTGTCAGTCTAATGTCCTGTTGTGTCCTTGGTGGAGGAGACTTTGTGTAACAGTTATTTCACCAGAACACAGACAGACCACGGCCAGGCCAGAACAACCCACTCTGGGAATAGAGACTGTCTGATACAGATTGTGTTAAAAAAGGAAATGTGCACTGCTTGGATGGGGGGAGTGTTGCCATGGAAACTCCTGTAAGGATCCATCTCTAAATTATTGTGAAAGACTGGCCAGAACTTTTAAGCAAATAGTTAACAATTCATACAGATAATACAATGGTCCAAATAAAAAGGGACTTAGATGCATTATCAGGCCTTTATCTAGATATATGGATCCATCTTCCAATATTTGGTCATATAAGGTTTGATATGTGTTTATTTTTATTTATTGTGTAAAACAGAGTGATGGGTCTAAGCAATACATTCCAAAGTGCACAGGCATGTCTACGTAGTCTACAATGAGATATTTATTGAATTTACATTATAGGGGTTCAGATGGAAAAAGTCAAAAAAGACAGTGGCTGTTCTGATGCTGTTTGCGCAAGGCAACATTTGGCATTGGAAAGTTTTGAGGGTGCAATGTCCTGAATAACCTTGTTTCCTATTCTTTGGTTATGCTGTAAAACTCTATCTGTCCTCATCTGATATACAACTTAAACATACTTCTACTGCACGCCACTTCAGATACAACAGTATATAGACAAACCAAGCTGGATTTGATATCTCAACTCCACCATAAACAAGGCACAGGGACTACAGTACTAACGCTCACAAAATGACACATCCGTCGGTTCAGCTAGTCTTATTTGCATTCTTCTTTGGTGTCTGCTTCTTGGTGGCGGGCTCTGGCTCTTTTGGGGTCTCTGGTTGGACTGGTGCAGCCATCTCTGCCTGTGCTGGGGCCTCTACTTGTGCTGTAGCCTGTGCTGGTGCCTCTGCATATGCTGGTGCTGGTTCCTCTGCCTGTGCTGGTGTCTCTACCACTACCTGTGCTGGGGCCTGTGTTGGTTCAGGGATCTTCTGGGCCTCAGCAGGTTCTGTAGACTCTGGCTCTTCCTCACTGTCAGAGTCATCGTCATCATCGTCTCCTGTGGACGGGGCCAGTAGGGAGGCCGCGAACTCCGCCAGCCTGTTCTGCTCAGCCCTCAGACGGGCCATCTCCTCTGTCATCTCTGGCTCCTCAACTATGTCCATGAGGCTGTGGACTGGTTCAGTGGCCACCTCCTGTGTCTCATCCTTGGGTGTCCCCTCGGTGGCGTCAGGCGTTTGGCGGATGCCTTTGATCTTCGAGTACAGGATCTTCCTCTCGTCCTGGAGTGCTCGGCAGAGCCTCTCCAGCTTGTCAATCTTCACGACAAACATCTCATACTCATTCTCCTTCAGAGTCCTCTGTGGGAAAAGAGAGTCTAACTTGTAGTGCATTTGAATAAAGGCTGACACTTTTGCATGTGTTATAGATGAGTAGTTACCTCTTCAATCATCTCAGAGAGAGCCTTGTTAGTGCTCTCAAATCTGGTCTTCCAAACATTAGACTCTTTGTCTAGTTTTTTCATCTTCTTTGTCATCTATGAAGCAAAATGTTTGTTGGGTTAAAACGTATCAGAAAATGTAACCATAATTCTGAATATGTTTAATATAGAAGACAGTCCCTCCAAAATATAGCTGTTTTCTAATTTCAGAGTTATGCAGACCTTATATTACCTTCAAGCACTTGGCCCTAAAAATAAACAGTATATTTAAAGGAAGGATTTTTTTTTTTTAACGGATGCCACATACCTTCTCCATTTCATTTTTGAAGCTGGCGTACACATCGTTGCTCTTAGACAACGTAGTCTGGAACTCTTCAAACTTCTGGGAGTACAGAGCAAGCTGAAGAAAAACAGGGACAGTCAGGAGAGAACTCTAGAAATTGATTTCAGGAGATATGGATGTTGACTTCACATTTAGCATTCATATGCATCTATTCACCTCAGGAACAATCAGATCTATGCTTTGAACTATATATGACACCAGAAACAAATTTGCTATACTTTAGAGGGAGATGAGATGAGGTGAGGGGAAGAGCCAGTGGGGTTCATCAAACATTTGGTCATTCATGAGCTGGCTGACTGACTCAAATTTTCACTGTGTATATTTTCCCTGACAAACAAGGCCACTCATTGTTGGGATGCCTTGCCTGGTTTCTTCATTGCTTCAGGGCCTAATTGCAGAGCATTACATTCCAAGTCCTAGGGCCCTCGGTGTGTGTGCTCTACATTCAGCTGGCCAGGCGGCCTCAGCCTCCCTGGGCTTCCCTTTAGCAGTCCTCTCCTCAGTGTTGGCAGAGCTACGTTAATGAGCGGCTCTATAAATGTTTCAGAGGCAGTCGGTCCAGCTAGAGTTAACAGGCTGATCTCCCGACGCCTTCAGGGGAAACCGCATCTAACACACAGCCAGTCTCCCATATTCAAACATGTCTCTCTGCTAGCCACCCCGTTGAGATCAACTGTCTTCATTTGAGAGTTACTGGTTTGACACAAAAGCAAAACAACTGCTTTGACATGCTCTATAAAATAGGAAAGGCTTTTTGCTTGATTATGTTTTGTATTTCAGAAAAGCTCACTTGATACAGATCAGTTTCTGCCTCAAGTCTTTCTAATAGATTTTTATTGCTGGCTGCGCTGCTTCGGCCGTTTCCTTGTATGATCTAAATCTATGCCTGTTATTGTAGAGAGAAATAAGGTTGACATTCCCAGTTAATTGGATTGGAAATATGACATGGCCTGGTACAAATACATGATGAATCATATAGGTACTGAAATGCAGTATTAACATAATTTGTTTTATTATTACTTTGTCATTTGGGAGCCAGGCTAATGTTTCTACTGAGAAAACACAAGGCTTTAAATAATGGCAAGGTTTCGCTGCAATTATTTAGAACCATATAAACTGGCAGCGATAATTTATGAATCCAGCGTGAAAGCATTTATCTTTGTGTGCGTCAGACCAACTAATTTAATTGTATAATTTTCTTGCACCCATACAATGATTGCACCACATCCAATAAACATAGCAATTGTAATTTTATCATAATTTTACAATCGAATGATCAATGGTACTGGAGTATGTATTCAATGTTCCAACAGAAAAAAATAACTGTGGCATTGCATCACTTGCATCACTTTTTTTAGTATTCCCATGATGCTGTGTGTCATCCTGCTGATTCAGGGAGAGGGAGTTGCTCTTGCCTGCTGCTATCATGGGAATAATGGCTGCTCTGTACAGTACAGCAAGCTGACAGATGTTCCTTTAATATCAAGTACTAGGTACATCAAGCCATATAGCATAGTTAGTTATGAGAGAGGAGAATCTGATTTGGGATTTCTCTCAAATCAGATGGTCACTTTTGCCATTGTGAGGATATTGAAAAGCTTTACTATAGATCCCAATGAATGAAATACAGTAACTACTGAAATTCTAGTTGTCTTTAACACACATGGAGCAATCCAGAGAACCTTAACGGTAGGATTGGGCTTGCCTTTCATAGGCTTGGCCCTGAAAGAAATGTATTGAATAAGGGTGTTTGGCACCACATTGGATATATTCACCTGAGCCTGCATGACTGTCTCTTGCTCTCTCAGAAGTTTAGCTTGTAGTTTCCACTCAGCTGCATGTACCAGTAACTGGTTAAAAACAAAACACACGTAAAGCACAAATTTACCTTTTTCTTCAACTGCAACTCTTGCTCCTTCAAAGTGTAGCATTTCTTTGTTTTGTCAATTGCCTCCCTAAGCAGCTAACAACAGAGACAGTGGATGGTTACAATACTCATTTCTGTGAGCATCACATGCACAATAAGACATTGTTTTTAAACTTAAAGGTACACCAGAATAAACAGTATTAAAGGCAACTGTATTTACATTACTTTACAGTACTTTGTGGGTAAGGTCAGTAAAAGTTGCGGTCCCGTGTGGCTCAGTTGGTAGATCATTGCACTTGAAACACCAGCGTTGTGGGTTCGATTCCCACGGGGGACCAGTATGGAAAAAGTCTGAAAATATATGCACTCACTACTGGAAGTCGCTCGTCTGCTAAATGACTAAAAATGTAAGTATAGTGACTCACGTATTCTTTCTCTCTCTTGTGCTTCTCCTCGGCCTCCTGCAGCTGTGCATTAGCTTGCTCCAGTTTGGTATCAGACAGCTTCTGCTGCAGGTCGCGGTGCTTGAAGATCTTCTCCAAGCTCTGAGTGATAGACAAGGTGAGATGACACACTAGATTAGACACTTTGGTTTGAGAAGGGCTTCTAAGACATTCTGTACAGGTTATGACTCCATCAGTTAGGATACATTTCTCACACTTTCTATCTTGTTAAAACCACCACTGCCATCCTGTTTGTCTATGAGAAATTGTCATAAACGTGTGCCTTGAAAAGTAATTAAGGCCATTGTTGTTTGCGCACAGTATTTCATTGGAAAGTTCAGACACTTTTTATGATGCCTGAGAGAACAGACAAAATAGTGGGTGGAGGACTAATAAAAACCTGGGACTTGAATTACTGTTTCACAATTAACAGCAGGGCAAATGCAAAAGCCTTATTAAATTGTTTTAAAGTAATGTCTACCCTAAACTGCGGTGTGAGGCCGGATGGACGTACTGCCAAATTCTCTAAAACAACATTAGAGGCAGCTTAGGGTAGAGAAATGAACATTAAATTATCTGGCAACAGCGCTGGTGGACATTCTTGCAGTCAGAATGCCAATTGCACACTCCCTCAAAACTTGAGACATCTGTGGCATTGTGTTGTGTGACAAAACTGCACATTTTAGAGTGGCCTTTTATTGTTCATAGCACAAGGTGCACCTGTGTAATGATCATGCCGTTTAATCAGCTTCTTGATATGCCACACCTGTCAGGTGGATGGATTATTTTGGCAACGGAGAAATGCTCACTAACAGGGATATAAATAAGAAATAAGCTTTTTGTGCGTATGGAAAATTGCTGGGATTTATTTCAGCTCATGAAACATGGAAACAACACTTTACATGTTGCGTTTTATATTTTTGTTCAGTGTATTTTCTTTACTATGGCAAATAGCAATATGCATAAACAATTTCTCTGCGAAACGGAGAACATTTAATTCATGTCCATCTGGAAATGAATCCATCTCAGCATTTAGCCAACTATCAAATGTCAACTTGTGTCCATTTTATGCAACTGCTGATGTCAGAATGGCTTGTTCATCATTGCAATGTGTGGTTCTAATCACTTATTTTAATAGGACACATTAGATGTTATTTGGATGTCAAATAATCACATCTCTCTTTCTGGCACGCTGCCTCTTAAGTGTTTATACTGACTACAACCAGCAGATGGCACTTGAGACAAATTATTAGAAACTCCACCACTAAAAAACGACAACAAAGAAATATGACATTTAAATCATCTATGATGGTTTTTACACACCAGTCCCAGCTGTGTGAGCAGCAGCACCAGCAGCCTCAGTGGCAACCAACTGCGTGACAGATCCTGGCTTTCGTGTGTCACTTCAGGCTTGTCCTTTCCCTGATGTTGTGTGATTATACTGTATATGACATGAGCGAGATTCAACCTTAAATAGTCGCTGGAAGTAAGGGTGCTGCATACTGTGTGTGTGTGTATATATATATATATATGTGTATATATATGTGTATATATATATGTGTGTGTGTGTGTGTGTGTGTGTGTGTGTGTATATATATATAATATATATATATATATATATATATATATATATATATATATATATATATATATATATATATAATGTGTATGTAATGTGTATGTATATATTATATATGTATATGTGTGTATATGTGTGTGTGTGTGTGTGTGTGTGTGTGTGTGTATATACAGTGAGGGGAAAAAAGTATTTGATCCCCTGCTGATTTTGTACGTTTGCCCACTGACAAAGACATGATCAGTCTATCATTTTAATGGTAGGTTTATTTGAACAGTGAGAGACAGAATAACAACAACAAAAAACCCTTGTTGTCAATCACAGAGGTCAGACGTTTCTTGTAGTTGGCCACGAGGTTTGCACACATCTCAGGAGGGATTTTGTCTCACTCCTCTTTGCAGACCTTCTCCAAGTCATTAAGGTTTCGAGGCTGACGTTTGGCAACTCGAACCTTCAGCTCCCTCCACAGATTTTCTATGGGATTAAGGTCTGGAGACTGGCTAGGCCACTCCAGGACCTTAATGTGCTTCTTCTTGAGCCACTCCTTTGTTGCCTTGGCCATGTGTTTTGGGTCATATTCATTCTGGAATACCCATCCACGACCCATTTTCAATGCCCTGGCTGAGGGAAGGAGGTTCTCATCCAAGATTTGACGGTACATGGCCCCGTCCATCGTCCCTTTGATGCAGGAATCATTCAGATGTTCATTGGCAAACTTCAGACGGGCGTGTAAATGTGCTTTCTTGAGCAGGAGGACCTTGCGGGCGCTGCAGGATTTCAGTCCTTCACGGCGTAGTGTTACCAATTGTTTTCTTGGTGACTATGGTCCCAGCTGCCTTGAGATCATTGACAAGATCCTCCCGTGTAGTTCTGGGATGATTCCTCACCGTTCTCATGATCATTGCAACTCCACAAGGTGAGATCTTGCATGGAGCCCCAGGCCGAGGGAGATTGACAGTTATTTTGTGTTTCTTCCATTTGCGAATAATCACACCAACTGTTGTCACCTTCTCACCAAGCTGCTTGGCGATGGTCGTGTAGCCCATTCCAGCCTTGTGTAGGTCTACAATCTTGTCCCTGACATCCTTGGAGAGCTCTTTGGTCTTGGCCATGGTGGAGAGTTTGGAATCTGATTGATTGATTGCTTCTGTGGACAGGTGTCTTTTATACAGGTAACAAACTGAGATTAGGAGCACTCCCTTTAAGAGTGTGCTCCTAATCTCAGCTCGTTACCTGTATAAAAGACACCTGGGAGCCAGAAATCTTTCTGATTGAGAGGGGGTCAAATACTTATTTCCCTCATTAAAATGCAAATCAATTTATAACATTTTTGACATGTGCTTTTCTGGATTTTGTTGTTGTTATTCTGTCTCTCACTGTTCAAATAAACCTACCATTAAAATTATAGACTGATCATTTCTTTGTCAGTGGACAAACGTACAAAATCAGCAGGGGATCAAATCTTTATTTCCCTCACTGTATGTATGTATGTATGTGTGTATGTATGTGTGTA